TGCCATTTAACAAAGAAAAATCAACCAAAAAAATGAGTTCGCGTGTCACCTCTGACACGCGTGTCATAGGTTCACCATCACTGTCCTATGAGATCCCTCATGCCTGTTTATAGTCCATCCCGTTCCCACCCCCAATCTAGGCAACCATGGATCCTCCTTCTGTCCCTCTAATTTGCCTGGACTGGCTACCTTATACAACGTACAGTCCTTTGTGTCTGGCTTACGAGCAGGAGGTGTCTGAGGTTCCCCCATACTGTCGCATGTATGGGTACCTCATCCTTTTTGTGGCCGAGTACTATTCCACTGTGTGGATATACCGGATTTGTTTATTCACTCAGCGCTTGGGGGTCATGTGGGTGGGTTCCGCTTTCTGGCTATAATGAGTCATGCTGCTGTGACATTCGTGTGTGGGTTTTTGTGTGGACATGTTTTTGTTTCTCTAGGGTAGGCGCCCAGGAGACTTCTAAAATTTTTGGAACCTTAGACTAGTCATCTGACCTCTCTGAGCCCGAGTTTCCCTGCCATCAAGGGTGGGAAACACGTGTCCCACCCACCAGCACGGGTCTGACCGGGATACGCGGGCGGTTGGGTGATGGCCCCTCCAAAGCACTTTGCTAGTTCGGCCCCGCCCAGATGTCTGCAGATGGCTCCCAAGGGCCCAAGGGGCCTGTAAATGGCACGGGTTTTACCATAGTGGACCCCAGAGGTGAGACTAGGATAGGGGTCGGCTACCCTCTTCCTGCTGGGCCGTGGGGAAGGGCAGGAGGTCCCCGGGTGGAGACGTGGGAGAAGGTCCCCACAGAAGGAAATAGCAGTGCCAGGCCAGACACCTGAGTGGCATCACAGGGGGTAGATGAGCTGGGGTGGAAAATGGGCACAGGTGGCCAGTGAGGAGGCGAGAAGGCTAGACCGGGGCCAGGGAAGGGTGGTCCCCGTGTTTTAGGCGTTGAGGCTGCCGCTTGTAGGCGGCGGCAGAGCCGGAGAAGGTCTGTAAGCGGAGCATTGACACATTCGGTTCAAGAGCGTGGAGGCAGCTTTGAAGGACAGCTCGTAACGCCTGGAAACTTGGCATCAGGGCGGCTCATGGAGAATTTATGGGCAGCTCTCTAGCTGTGGCTCTCGGGCTGGGAGCCTTCCACCCCTTGTTCCTTTGAACAGGGCAGACGGGTTTTACGAGGTGTGTTTCCTGTGGGATCAGGGGCCAGATTTAGGGGAGCTTTTTCTCCTGACACCTGCTGCTGCTGGTCAGAGTGAGAAGGGATAGGTCACTGATCTGTGGACCCTGCTTTGCTCTGACACCCAGGTCCTAGCTCCTGTCTTGAGCAGACTCGTCAGAATTTCTAGGGCAGTGGTTCTCCACCTTCCTAATGCCGCGACCCTTTAATACAGTTCCTCATGTTGTGGTGACCCCCAATTTCATTGTTACAAATTGAACATAATTAAAGCATAGTGATTCATCACAAAAACAATATGTAATTATATATGTGTTTTCCGGTGGTCTTAGGCGACCCCTGTGAAAGGGTCATTCGACCCCCAAAGGGGTCGCGACCCACAGGTTGAGAACCGCTGTTCTAGGGGGTACACGACTATTTTGAAAGTTATTCAACATGCCTATACTTATTTTTACAACAAAGAGTATAGAAAATAAAATGTACTTTAAAAACAAAACAAAACACGGATGCTGAGGCACAGAAGGTAGGCCGAGAAATAACTGGGGAGGGGAAACTGAAAGTTGGGTTCTAAAAAGTGGAAAAACAATGTTCTAATCAATATGAAATGACCTATCCGTAAAGTAGGGGCTGCTGAGTTGCGGGGATCAGTCGAGAAAGCACATTAAATTCCAGGGCCGTCAGGGACTTCATAAATGATGTCTGCTGCCCCTGCTAGGAGGCCCTTCTTATGTTGAAATTCACCATTTGCTAGCTGTGTGGCTTTGGATGCGTTGTTTAACCTCTCTAGGCCTTTGGTGACTGCTGTGGTCCGCTCGCATGCTGCTGCCCACCGCCAGCTGGCTGGAGGGCTCCGTGTACCTTATCTGCTCCGGGCAGAGCATGGCAGCCCTACATCTTGAAAATTAACTATTGTCGGCAGCCTAGGAGTCTTCACTTGAAGATTTCTTAGGACCTCAAACTGATGAACTTTTTACAGCAGTTTGAGCTGGACTCCACCTCCATCAAGTTCAGTTCTGGTTTAAACCAACCCTCACGCATTCTCCTTGCCTTTTCCAACCTGGCAGCTCCAAGGGAGGTGAGGGGCTGGGGAGAGGCTGCGTGGGGGACAGGCGGGGAAGGGGAGCCCCCGCCCCTGGCTGCCAGGGCTCTGTGTTGCTTGGGTTTCAGATTTGGAACCAGATTTTAGGTCACCTTCTGAAAGCTGCAAAATCATGCCAGCGGGTCAGATTTCTCTGAGCGCCTTCCCTGAGATGATCTCTACTTGGGTTTAATAAAATATTTAGAGGCAGATTGCATTTCCCTTGCAGCTGCTCCTGAGGTTGGCAGGTAGTACAGTCCCCAGATGCCTCGCGTGGGCTGTCACAAAACCGAACTCTCTAGCATCTTAGTTGAGAAGAGTTAACGAAGAAGTTATTATTTAGCCCGAAAGAGGCAGGTTTCAAAAGAGTTCATACTTTGGCCCTAAATCCGTTGTCATTCACTCCTTCCTCCACCGAATAAAACCCACGCTACCTTCTTGGTGTTTGTCGAACTGCAAATCAGTTCCTTGCCATGGACTTAAAATAGAACAACCCTAAGATTTTTCATCAGAATAAAGTCTACTTTCATTGCATGAGCCTTTTTCTCCAGTGGAAGGGAGAACAAAGCCACACCGTCCCAAAGTGGCCTGCACGGAGCCTCCTATGAGCCCAGTAAATTATACATATTATGAAACATTGCTGTGTGTGTGTGTGTGTGTGTGTGGTTCCGATTCAAGGATCCTGTGCCTGGCCTTTCATAAAGGCCAATATTCACAACATCAGAGTTTGGAGTTAGGAAAAGTTTGTTGATCAAGAAGGCTCCAGCTTGAGAAGATGGGAGGGAGTTGCCTTAAAGTGTCTGCAAATCCATCTTTTTTTTTTTTACTTTTTTTAAAAATTATTATTATTAGTTAAGGTATTACAAATGTGTCTGCAAATCCATCTTAAGAGAGCCCAGGATTCAGGCTTCTTTTATGTCAAGGGAAGGGAGCATGGGCAGGGCAAGAGTGTGTGACACCTTAGCACCAACAGGGATCCAGGGAAGAGTGTGAAATTTGTAAATCTCCTAGTTCCTTGGTCCCTTGACCCCTGCTGATCTGTGTCTGGTCTTGAGGCTCCTGCAAATCTTTGCAGAAAGCTCAGCCTCAAGCAGAATTCCTCTGTAATTAGCACATCGATAGCCATAGCCGGAGCTTCTTCCCTGAAGGCCCTGGGAGAAATGCAGGCTGGAATTAAGATGGAGGCAGCGAGAGGGAGCGTTTCACTCGGTTACAGGTGCCGCAGTAATAGTAGGGGTCTTTGGGGCGTGGATTAAAAACCTCTGTCACCCTAGTTTTCATGGTATGGAAACTGGTTGCAAAGCCTTAGAATTTAGGCCATTTGGGGAGGGGGAGGGCTGTGCCATCATGAAATGACCAGCTAAGACTGTTGTTTAATGATTGTACCAATAGCTGCTTTCTGAAGAGTCCCTCTCTGTCCCCGGGGTTGGGTCTTTATGGTTTGTGAGGTCTAGATTCCTGTTGGTCTTTGTGATAATTTTGGTGGCTGTGCCGCTGACCCATTTAATTTGCTCCGTTTGTAGGAGGCCAGATCCCTGTCCACCTAGTGCCGCACCCCCAGCACCACCTCTCAGTATATCACACACCAGTCAAGGCCTTGCAGAAATTTGAGGCCACCCCCACTCCCTCACCCCCTTAGAGCTTCGGGCTCTTCCCTGGAACTGGGAAATGAAACCGGGTGGTACTGAGTGCTGAGTGGGTTGAACTTGGCAAAACCAACATCCCTTTGTGCCTGATATACAGGCACAGTTTGAAACTGCTTTTTTTAGATGGGTCATTGGTAGTTTCATGGTCATTTGCTTTCCTTTTTAAAAATTAAATGTAGCCGTAACCAGTTTGGCTCAGTGGATAGAGCATCAGCCTGCGGACTGAAAGGTCCCAGGTTCGATTCCGGTCAAGGGCATGTACCTTGGTTGCGGGCACATCCCCAGTAGGGGGTGTGCAGGAGGCAGCTGATCGATGTTTCTCTCTCATCGATGTTTCTAACTCTCTATTCCTCTCCCTTCCTCTCTGTAAAAAATCAATAAAATATATTTTAAAAAACATTAAATGTATTGGGGTAACTTTGGTCAATAACATTATATAAATTTCAGGTGAACAGCTTTATAACACAATATCTGTATATTCCATTATGTGCTCATCACCTGAAGTCCAGTTTCCTGTCACTATGTATTTGACCCCCTTCACGCTGTTCACCCTCCCCTCACTCCCTTTCCCCTCTGGTAGCCACCATTCTGTTGTCTGTATCTGTGAGTTTGTTTTATTTGTTCATTTGTTGCTTTTTGTTTTATATTTCACATGAGAGTGAAATCATATGGTTCTTGTCCTCTTCTGTCTGACTTAATCCACTTCGAGTGATACTCCGAAGATCCACCCATCTTGTCACCAATGGCGGCATTTCATCTTTTTCCTGGCTGAGTCGTATTCCATTGTGTATCTGTACCACAGCTTCTTTATCCACTCATCTGCCAAAGGACATTTAGTTTTTTTTGCCATGTCTTGGCTACTGTAAATAATGAACAGAGGGTACATATATCTTTACAAAGCAGTGTTACCAGATATTTCAGGTAGATGATACTCAGAAGAGGGATTGCTAAGTCATATGGTAACTGGAGTCTTAATTCTTTAAGGAACCTGCATTTCTGTAGTGGCTGCACCAATTTACATTCCCACCCGGGTTCCCTTTTCTCGACACCCTCACGAACACTTGTTATTTCTTGTCTGATCGTTGTCCTTTTTTTTTCTTGCAGTTTTATGTGCTGAAAGAGTTGGCCAGATGACTAAGACGTATAATGACATTGATGCTGTCACTCGGCTTCTTGAGGAGGTAAGTGTTTCGGGGGAAGGGAAAGGGTCGCTCAGAATTGACCGATTGTAATTGGTATTGACTAAAGCATGCATTACCGTGAGTCTCAGGGAAGAATCTCAGAAATGGGGCCTTCTCAGGGGATCACTTAGAGCAGTGGTTCTCAACCTGTGGGTCGCGACCCCTTTGGCGGTCAAACGACCCTTTCACAGGGGTCGCCTAAGACCCTCCTGCATATCAGATATTTACATGACGATTCATAACAGTAGCAACATTACAGTGATGAAGTAGCAACGAAAATAATTTTATGGTTGGGTCACAACATGAGGAACTGTATTTAAAGGGCCGGAAGGTTGAGAACCACTGACTTAGTGGCTTTATTTTTTGTATTGATAGCTTTGTAGTTCTTTGTAGCGGTAAGTTTGTTTATGGTATTTTAGGTTTTACAATGAATGTATGAATGATACAGAATTGGGTAAGCACGGAAAGAATTGCTAGAATACCCAGTTTCAAGATTTTTAAAAACCCTTAAAATACATTCCCACAATATATTTTCAGTGCATCCAAAAAATATCAGAAAAAAAAAATATAATTACCCATATCTTTGCAATGTATTCTGTTTTACTTACAGCAGGTTAAGGGGATTTTATTATGGACGTGTGTATCGGGGTGTTTGGTCTCCGCCACTCCTCCCCTTGTCCTGATAGGAATCACTGCTGAGTCGCTGCCTTTCTTTGGAAGAGGCGGGTTTCCTGGTGAACGCCTCACTGCCCCAGGCGTGTGACCTTGTACTGCGCGTGCTTGTCTTGGCTTTGGTTCCGTTCCCTCCCACCGTGACCGTTTGCTTTGGTTTGCACGCCTGCCACATGCAGATGGGGTGCTGGGAGGTCGGGGGAGGGGGGCAGGGGGGGTTGCACAGGGCCCCAAAGCACGGCCAGTGTGGAGCGTTTGCATCTGGGTGTGCGGGGACAGGATTCGCAGTTTGCCCTAGCTCGGTGCTGCTTGGAATTTACCTCTGGGCAAGGCTTGCCTCCTCCCCGGTTACCGAGAGGGTTATTCCGAGGGCTCGCTAGTCATGCTTTTTATCCTAAAATTGGTGAATGGGATGAGTTAGCTGCCTGTGTGGGCGGCAGGGTGCTCTCCAGCTCCAGGGTTGTGTTCATTGGTTAAAGGGGCTGAGCCGCAAGTCACCCTGTTTTCAAACAAAGCCTGTCTGGGAAGAGGGAGTGAGCAGTGAGAATGAGTCCACCCAGCTACCTTTCCCGGGCACTAAAAGAACCCATTCTGTAATAGCCTATCTCCAAGGGCCTAAGTTATTTAGTTGTAGTCTTGTCTTCTCGCCATATTTGAATCCAGTGGTCCTTTCCTAGCTGCTTCCCTGCATTCAGAAGTAAACGCTGTTGGCTGGTGGTAAGAAATGGGAGTTTTTTCGTTCTTATAATTCTCCAAGAGACACTCGGCCAGCCTGCCACCTTAGAAAAGAGAAGCCAGAGACACTACCTACAGGAACTTTTTTGTTGTTGTTTTCATTTCATCCGTAACTATTTTTACTAGAATGTCTTGCCCTTTTATTATCCCCCCCTCCCAGCAGAGTTTTCTTTATGTTCCTATAAGGATTAGGTTTTTGGTGCAGAGGCGGTGAGAGCTCGGATCAGTGGGGCAGGGCCGGGTGGGGACGGGGTGCAATGAGGAGGGCGAGGGGCGTGGTTGTTGAGCTCCCGCCCACTCGCTCTTCTTCCCCTTCCTGTTTCCTGGTCCTCCTGGGCTCTGGCCTCCCCCTGCTCTCGCACTGCCTCTCCCAGCCGGTCTTCCTTGTTATCGTTTCTGCTTGACTTGTTTGCAGTGGGATGTGTGTACAGAATGTGGCTGAGGCTTAGCCAGTGTGGCCGAGGCTGTGCTTGTTGGAACTGCAGCTCAGAGGTGTGGAGAAGGCACAAAGTTTCCTCCACCCTCAGGGTTCTTCTGGCTGGCCTAGTAACCACGTAGACGTGAGACCGATCAGCAAGAGAAAATAACCCAAGCGAATACCGACATATGCATGGGAACCCCACATACACGAGAGAGTCCAGGACCCCACCTGCAGGAGAGGATGGGAGACAGAAAGGGACCATGGTCATATAAGACATCCTGAGCTAGGACGAGCCTGGGTGCTTCAAAGGGTCATTGTCGGATGAGAAGAAGAGCAGATGCTTGGTAAATACAAGTTTGTCCTGCACTTAGTTATGTCAAAAGAGGTTACCTCTCATAACCTTTTACTGTGGGCAATGCCCCGAATGTAAGTTCTCGATAGTTAAGGGAGGGGCAGGAGTTGCCTTTAGCTCAAAACAATCTGCATACTGCAAAGGCACGTCTTGGGGTGACTCGTTCTGAACCCCTACGGTTGCATGCTGGAGATGCAGAACAGTGAGGCAACGAGCCAATGGGCATTAAGCCCCTGTTGGGTACAAGTCTGAGGACTTGCTCTAGTGAAATCGAGTAGACTTGAGTGAACTTGGTGGAGACCACACTTCTAAGGGACATGGACTTGGTGTCGCAGTTTTAGCTGAGTGTCCTCCGGCGGAAACCACTTGGACTACAGCCTCTAGACAGGTAGGCATGCAAGTTCCCTCACACAATCCCTTTGGGTCCTTTCCTCCAGGTGCCAAACAGGCACCACTGTTGAGTCTGAGAAGTGATCCAGGGCCATTGAGCGAGGACCCTCCTTGATAGACACTGTAGCTGGCGTGGATGCCTGCACAGAGATGAGCATCTTGGCTGAGTGGGCAGACTCACTGGCCACCTTTGTTCCATGGGAGGGAGTGCTGGGGAGACACAAATTGTGGGAATGAGCTGGGGTATTTACGGCTCACTTCACGTGACACCCGGCTGGCTTCTGGGACAGTGGAGACAGCAGTTACGGGCCTTAGCACCGTCGAGGACCTGGGGCGGGGGTGCAAATCCCTATCAATCCAGAGTCTTCCAAAATTACACTCTGACCTCCAGTCATTCAGTGGAATGCCTGTGATAAGCCAAGGGAAGGCGTGCTGCTGTTGCACGGAGGAGTTCGGTGGATGTGTAAGAAGTTAGAAATAAAAGCTACTGATTTTTATTTATTTACTAGAGGCCTGGTGCACGGATTCGTGTACCAGTGGGTCCCTTGGCCTGGCCTGTGGGGATCGGGCTGAAACCGGCAGTCCAACATCCCCCAAGGGGTCCCGGATTGTGAGAGGGCGCAGGCCAGGCTGAGGGACCCCACTGGTACATGAATCCGTGCACCGGGCCTCTAGTATTCATATAAGATCTTTGGTTACTCTCTTCCCACCCTCCTCTCTACCCTCTTCCCCCCTTTCCTCTGAGATTCATCAGTCTGTTCCATGTTTCCATGCCTGTGGTTTCCGCTCCTGCGTTGAGCGTCTGCCCCCTGGTGGTCAGTGCAGCAATAGCTACCGGCCAGTCAGCCAGTTGCTTAGGCTTTTACATATATAGATTTTTTTAATGATACAAGTCAGTGAATCATTAAGCTGGAAGATTTTTTTCAAGGGTATCTCAGCTAGTCTGCCCCTCTGCCCTCCTCCATCTGACAGACAAGCAGGCCCAGGGATGTTCCATCAGAACCCAAACTCTCACAGTTTCAGAGTTGAACAGTTCACCTGCAGCAGGTAAACTGTGGACCTGAACCCGCTGTGAGAAATGCACCTTAGGTTGTGGCCCAGGACTCACATAAGTAAATACATGACAAGCAAAAGCTTGTGTGTGAAATCGTACCCTTATTACGTGGAAGGCACTTTGGTATTTCATTTCTGCGCTGTTGAATTTCTTTAAACCGAATCGTCAGCTGCCACTACTACGGTGATTCTCAACCTGCTCAAGGGTTATTGCCTGTCTTTGGAGAAAGCTAATCTGGAGTGTTCCTGATCCTCGCAGAGCGGGGACCTTGACCTGAGGCCGCGTAGTTAGTTAATAGCCGATCAGAAGCTACAACTGACTCCTGCCCAGCTTTTTTTCTTTTTTTCCTGATCTTAACTACATGAACCTAAAAATAAAAGGCTTTTCAAAGTGAGAGGCAACAAGCATTTATTTGAGAGTTAACAGACAAAGAAGAATAGCTGTTCAGGAAGCACTGATTTAGGCAGAAACCGAAATTATGTTCCAGTTTAGGGGTAGTTATGAGAAATGGGGACAGTTCCATCAGTAGAAGGAAGACACTCTTATTGGTGCAGAAAAGCTCACATGGGGATGTTTATTCTAAAGAAGGGTTTGAGTTTCCAGTCCAGTCGTCCGTCAGTCCTGTTGTCATAATATCTGCTTGCTTGTTATCCTGAAAACAGTTCTTTGGGACACGAGGTTACCCAGGCTCGTTCTAAAGGGGATTGTGCCCTGTTTTAACGTCTCAGAGGTGTGAGGCATGAGACGTGCAAGGCAGTGCCCCTGGGGTGGCAGCTCCGGCTCCATTTTAGCGTGGCTCTGTTTACGTTGTATTTCTTAACAACTACCCACTCCCATTCCTCTGCCCTTCACGCCAGGTGAGCAGAATAATTAGCACAGGCTTCTGAAATCATTTCGTTCCCAGAGGTCTCCTCCCCTTGCCAACCGCCACCTAAACGTGAGCAAGTTGAGTCTGACCCCGTGGCCAACAGCCCCTCCGGCGGACTCAGGGAGTCTGCTTCTGGCGATGGCGGCCGCCCACTGTCTCCACTGTCGGGACCCTTGACAGGCCCCGCAAGGCTTTCCTCGGCGTCCTGCTCTGAGAGATGTCACCAGCTGAACCAACAGACACTTCTGTGTCAGGGACACACCTCTGATTCTGAAGTAGGGCAACTTTTATGCCTTGTTGCTCCAATTGGAAAGTATTTTAGAAAAATAAAGCCTCGCCCGGCCAGCATGGCTCAGTGGTGGTTGAGCATCGACCTGTGATTCAGGAAGTCATGGTTCAATACTCGGGTTTCCGGCTCCATCCCCAGTTGATGTGCAGGAGGCAGCCGATCAGTGATTGTCTCTCATCGTCGATGTTTCTCTCTCTCTCTCCCTCTCCCTTCCTCTCTGAAATTATATATATTTAAAAATAAATAAGTAAAACAAAGCCTAAGTAGATTCCCATTAAGTAAAAGAAACGTGTTGCTGCATTTCAGAGTATCCAGAAACATTTTTGTTTCATAGGAGGCAAGTACAAGGAACCGGGTCAATTCCAGCTTAACGTGTGCCGAAGAGGCTGCCTCCCTGCTTCTTGCTATACTTGGCTCTCTCACAGAAACAGTCTGGAATTTCTGGGTCCATTCATTCATTCAGCAGCTGGCCACTGGGTGTTTCCATGTGCTGGTACCTGGCAGTACAGGTAGCCCAGCCGCAGGCCTCCCGGAGAGATGGCTATCAGATGACTACACGAATACCAAAAGCAGCTGCAGAGAAACGTTCTGGAAGCAGGTTTTTCCTGCTGGAACAGAGACTTGTTTTCATCAGATGTCAAGGTTTCCTTCCAGGGCCAGGGCCTGCGTAGCTCCTGCAGGTTACGTGGGCAGAGTGGACACCTCTTTGAACGGGTGTCTGGTGCTGGTGAATGGATGGTGAATTATTAATCCCTCTGTCATTTCTAAATGCCCTTGTTTTCCTCCGTGGGCTCCTTCAGGACGTCTGAGTTTTTTTAAAAAAATCTCTGCTCTCCCTCTGCCTTTCACAGAAAGAGCGGGATTTAGAGTTGGCTGCTCGGATTGGCCAGTCGTTGTTGAAGAAGAACAAGATGCTCACCGAGAGGAACGAGCTGCTGGAGGAGCAGGTGGAGCACATCCGGGAGGAGGTGAGGAGCCGGTGCCGGGGCCACAGGAGCCGTCCAGGGTGAGGGAAAGGGTCCCATTCGGAGAGGCCCCCGAGGGCTCGCCCAAGCCCTGAGCCCAGAGCCGCCTGCTCTCGCCTGGCCACCTGGACACAGCACGCTGCCTGCAGCTCCTGTTCACTGTGTCTCCTGCCCACAGTGGGGCCTCATCTCCCATCTGGTGAGATGACCCATGACTCTGGGCATTTGCCCAGCTACTGACTGGCTAAGCTATCTGCCCCCAGACATCATTCTAGAAACTTCTAGTCCCCTCTCACCTCTTCTCCATACCAAAGTAAAAATTGTAAATTGAGGCAGAGGGATTTTTTGGGCGAAGAGTAATTCATTGTATTTTTCTCAAAGAGGATGAAATGTAACTGTTTTCTCTGAATAGAACAAAAATCATTTAAAGGCCTTCACTTTTAAGGAGGATCAATGTATTTTTTTTTATTATTATTGATTTCAGAGAGGAAAGAAGAGGGAGAAGGAGATAGAAACATCAATAATGAGGGAGAATCATTGATAGGCTGCCTCCGGCATGCCCCCTACTGGGGATCGAGCGCGCAACCCGGGCATGTGCCCTGACCAGGAATCAAACCGTGACCTCCTGGTTCAGGTCGACGCTCAACCACTGAGCCACGCCCGCCGGGCTAAGGAGGAATTTTTAAAACGCTGTCACTGAGCAGCAGGTGTTTGAGCACGAGTGGGGATGTGGTCCTGTGAGGGGCGTGAACGACGGCCTGGCTGTTTGTGCAGGTGTCTCAACTCCGGCATGAGCTGTCCATGAAGGATGAGCTACTCCAGTTCTACACCAGCGCCGCGGAGGAGAGCGAGCCCGAGTCCGTGTGCTCAACCCCGTAAGTCCCTGGAGTCCGGGGTCACAGCACAGGCTGGCTGCCGCCCATGTCCTTGGAGCTGCCTGGGCAGGGTCGGTCACCTTCTCCAGCAACACAGGTCAGCCGCTCCGGCCTCCTCCAACCAGGCACCTCCCAGTGCCTGGCACAGACCGTGTCACCATTTCAGTGGGACGTGGAAGGACAGGTTTTTTGTTTTCCTCTGACTGGGGCTTCTTGTTCATTTGTCAGTTCAGACTGACATGGCCTGGCATGTTGGTAGGTGACAGGGTGGGCTCTGCTATTAGGGTTCTGAAGCCTGAGGTGCTGTGAGGGGACCTGGGGAACAGGAGGTGTGGGGGCTTCTCTGAGAGTCTGCAGAGCCTCATGTTAGTGGCATGGACTCAAAAGCCGGATGGTCTAAGTTCAGTTCTTGACGCTGTGGCTTCTTAGCTGTGTGTTCTTGGCTAAGTTACTTAACCTCTCTGTGCTTGTTTCCTTATTTGTAAAATGGGGATAATAAGACTAGCACTTAGTTCATAGGGTTATGCGCATTAAGTGACTTAATACCTGTATTTGAAACAGCAGTTGGCACCCAGAAGTGCATTATACATATTAAACTCCCAGGCATTCAGAATTGTGTGGGCTTCAGATAGAGCCAGTTTCCCTGAATTCTGAGGCAACGTGACAACTGCGAATTGTGGACAAGGGTTGGGTTGTAAGTCTGAAGTGGGAGCGAGCCTGTGTGTCCTGGGGGTGCGGGAGCAGCCGGATGGGCCATTGTCACGCCTGCACGTGTCCTGACGCCCCTGGAGACGGGCTGTGTGCCTCCCCGTGGTGCACCGGGCGGCAGGGGGAGTGTGTCTCTCCCTAGAACGCGATCTTACCTTCTCCCCAGGTTGAAGAGGAATGAGTCATCGTCCTCAGTCCAGAATTACTTTCATCTGGATTCTCTTCAGAAGAAGCTGAAGGACCTGGAAGAGGAGAACGTTGTACTTCGATCCGAGGTGGCGTCCGCACCCTGCTCTTGTCCGCTCTGGGGGGTGGCGGCCCTGTTCCCCTTATCTGCCCTTCGCAAAGGTTCTCTGTCAGAACCACCTGAACCTTGGCTCATTCCTGTGCTGGGTGTTGCCTCCCAGGGCTGGGGCGGACCCGCTGGTGAATTATGCAGCGTGTGGAGGGGCAAGGGTGGGTGGCAACCTGTCCCCCTTTGCAGGGTAGAAGGGGATCTTTCCAGGGTGTTCTCCAGCTCTACGGGCATGACGTGGAGGCCCAGTGTGAAGGCCTCGTTTTCCTGTCCCCCCAGGTGACACCAAACAGTACCCGGGGAAATAGTGCCTGAGAACTCGGGGACACATTTCTTAGTTGAGACTGAGCAAAGACACACTGGGAGCTCCTGCTTCTGAGGGTCCCTAATTGGCTGGGTTTTGTGCTCGGTACTTTGCCTGCATTATTTTTTACTTTATTTATTTCTAAAAATATTTTTAATTGATTTTTTTTAGACAGAGAGGAAGGGAGAGAGAGAAACATCGATGTGAGAGCAAAACATTGATTGGCTGCCTCCTGCACACCCCCTCCCAGGGATCGAGCCCGGAACCCCCTGGGCATGTGCCGTGTTTGGGAATGGGACTGGCAACCGTTCCGGGCACGAGACAGTGCCCAGCCAGCTGAACCACACTGGCCAGAGCTGCCTTGCTTTTTAAAATCTCCACAGCAAGGCTGGGAGCTGGTGACTTGCGTCTCATTTCCGTTGGGAAGACAGGACCCCGGCTGCCGGGAGTTTTGATTTCCCAAGGCCGTGCAAGTCAGTGGATGACAGACCCCGGATTTGCAAGTCTCCGTGACGCCAGACCCCACACTGCTTCCCCTCACCCCCCGTCTCTATCTAGAAACGCTGCAAATTCAGTACTTTTTGTCTTAAGCATCAGTGCGTCTTTGCTCTCTAGCCAGAGGGGTGGTGCAGCCTGTCCATCAGGCCCTTGTTTGTCAAGTCGGGGCTGATTCCCACCTGAGCTGGCTCAGCCCTCTCCCCACCCCACCCCCAAAGCTCATCCCATAGGGCAGACCACCCGTCACCTTGAACTTGCCCACACGTTGGAAACAATCTCATGTCTGGGCTGAACAGGACACTGAGGCATGAGGAAGGGGTCACGCTGTCTCAGAAGTCACCTCTTCCAGCCCCTCGTTTACTGAGCAGTTGTCTTAACTCTCTGCCAGCCAGTGGCCGAGCCAAGACTCGCCCAGTGCTCCCCATTCTGAGTCTGGTGCTGCCCCTCCCAGTGTCGTCTGCCCCAGGTAGACACTAGTCCTGGGCACACAGCAATGGCCCCTTCGTCAGAGTCTTCACCTAAAGCAGTGGTTCTCAACCTTCTGGCCCTTTAAATACAGTTCCTCATGTTGTGACCCAACCATAAAATTATTTTCGTTGCTACTTCGTAACTGTCATGTTGCTACTGTTATGAATCGTCATGTAAATATCTGATATGCAAGATGGCCTTAGGTGGCCCCTGTGAAAGGTTTGTTCGACCGCCAAAGGGGTCGCGACCCATAGGTTGAGAACTGCTGACCTAAATCAACCAGGGAGCCTGATCCCAGCCAGAGTCCGCTGCCCCTCCTTGGCTTTCAGGAGTGTGGTGTCTCTGTGGGGCCAGGACCTTCTGTCTAACTGGGGTGTCCAGATCTCTAGCCTCCCACCTTGTTAGCCGGGAGCAAGCTACACAGAGTGCTGGGATAGCTCCTGGGCCTCTGAATTTTACTGCTTTCATCTCGTACCTTGTTTTTGCTCAGCAGAATGCAAGAGATTTAACTCCAACTTAGTAGAACCTCATAGGACAGTGCCCAGCACATAGTAGGTGAATGTGTTAGCCATTCTCCTTGTGGCTAGCCTTAGAACGCCCATGGTAGGCAGAGCTGTGTCCTAGGCACTTTTTGAGTCACAAAGGGGTTCAGGCTGTGAACCAGGACAGACACAAATGAATAGACAGACAGACTGGACTCAAGGATGGCTCGTAGAGTTTTGGTGAAGCAGGGTGTACAGCTCCTGTGCGCATAGCTTTGGAGGGCGCCCTCTCGTGGTACGTTTTCCAGCTTTGAGAATCTGAGATGCACTCACTAAAGAGGGGAATCAGATGGACTTTCTGTATTTGAGGGTGCAGCAGGTGACAGGTGGGGAAATGCCGAAGGGTGACTTCCCAGACCCAGGTGAGCCCTTGCTCCAGGGCCCAACCTCGCCTGCCCCAGCCGTGCAGGTGTGAATATGGGGCCTCTCACCTGGGCCTTGTCCACACACAGGCCTGCCAGCTGAAGACGGAAACCATCACCTACGAAGAGAAGGAGCAGCAGCTGGTCAACGACTGCGTGAAGGAGCTGAGTATGTCCCTGTTCCCTCTTTTTTCTTTCTGCACCTGCCCTCGTTATGAGCACACAGGTTCACATCCCCTGACCAAGTCCAGTCTCCCTGCCAGCTGGGGCTCAGTGGCGTTTTCCTTAAAGCTAGAGGTCCCCCAGATCTTCTGTGGCACCCTCAGGAGTCACCCTACTTGTGAGAAATTGGGGGCTAGGTTGTCAGTCATACGTTGTCTTAATGTCTCGCTGGTATTCAATTTTGTTTTCTACTGGAATTATTTTATTGGTCAGTTAGGTATAGCTTCAGAGTCCTATGTTGGAGATATGGAAAAACTGCTTTCTAGTCATCTGATTTGTGAAAGTTGAGGCGAGAGTTCTTTTCACCCTCCCCGTTGTGAGTTAAAATTAGACAGAGCGGTAAAGAGAATATTTTGAGTTTCGGCAGCATACTAAGTAAATGAAACACACCCTCTGTTTAAACCGAGTGAAATGAGTCCTGGCTCTGACTGTGGGTGGAAAACACACGAGGGGTTGCGTTGGGCACGTATTTCCTTTCCAGAGCAGGGTTGACGGGAGTTCCCGGGAATATAGGGACTTGTTCACAGGTGGAGAGTGAGTTTTGGCCAGACACACCTTGGTATGGGTGTGGCACCTCCTGGCTGGCTCCAGGAGCCACCTGATTTCCTCTGGGGAGGCAGCCTTGGTCAGCGGGTTAGGCTCTCACGGTGAGCCCGGGAGCCACAGCTGGGAGCCAGGCTCCCCCTCATGGCGGAAGGAGCCAGGGGGAGCGGCTCTGCTATGCTTCACCATCGAGCAAATCGGGCACTGCCAGTCCCTTCGTCATATGCCCTCTTTGCTCCCACCTCCCCCGCCCCACCCCCTTCTCACAATAGAGGGGCTTTCCCTTGTACAAGCCACAAAGCAACAATTCTCTCTCGGTCTGCTCGGGGCGGGGGGGGGGGGGGCGGTTCTGACTTCGCCTTGCGCTGGTTGTTTCTGGGTCGAAGGGGACGCCAACGTGCAGATCGCCAGCATCTCGGAGGAATTGGCCAAGAAGACGGAAGACGCTGCCCGCCAGCAGGAGGAGATCACGCACCTGCTGTCTCAGATCGTGGACCTGCAGAAGAAGGCCAAAGCGGTAAGCCGCCATTCCTCTGGCCGACACCGGGAGGCCGCTCTGAGGTCGAGAGGGGCCGCTGACCTGGGAGGCAGTGCCCTTCCTTTCATCTCTTAGGAGTGGCTGCCTTTTGGAGAAAGAGCTTACTTAGCGCATCGGTTCTCACCCTGTGGGTCGTGACCCCTTTGGGGGTCGAACGACCCTTTCACAGGGGTCGCTGAAGACCATCGGGAAACACATATATAATTACATATTGTTTACAGTAGCAAAATTACAGTTATGCAGTAGCAACGATACTTTTATGGTTGGGGGCCACCACAACATGAGGAACTGTATTAAAGGGTCGCGGCATGAGGAAGGTTGAGAACCGCTGGCTTAGTGGCCTCAGTAGCGTACTCCTCATCACCACTTTCCTCCTCGGAATATCTTCAAATTGATAGGATCCACCACGACAGCTGCTGTAGATACGGCGTTTGGGAATCGAATCATCTAGTCTCGTAGTTGTTGTTACACCCGCACCTGTGCGCTCTGCAGCAGCCGGTGTCCCCTTTAACTTGGAGATGAAGCAGCCAGAAGGCAGTCTGGTTTCCCGTGTTTGGCCTTTGCTGGACGCGTGGGGTGAAGCGCTTCCGGAGAACAGCTGTCTGTGGGGGAGGGGTGGGGAGGGGCAGGAGTGGGGTGGGCCACAGGGAATGAGCGTGAATGTAGGAAAGACGGCCTTCAAAGTGATCACAGACGGCATGTCCTCGGTGTAAGATGAGGGTCCCTGTGGGAGGGCCCAGGTCCTAACGGAGCGGGTTGCTGGGGGAGTGGGACGTTTCGGAGCCGCCGCGGGAGCAGCCTGCGGGACAGGAGCAGCTGACTGCCTGTGCGTTTCAGTGCGCAGTGGAAAATGAAGAGCTCGTGCAGCACCTGGGGGCCGCCAAGGATGCCCAGCGGCAGCTCACGGCCGAGGTAAGCCGCTCCCCCTCATTTCATCGGGGCCCCCGGTGCCAGGTCGGGGGCACCAGCCTCTCCCGCTGACGGGCCGGGGGTTGTGTTCCCCTCAACAACCATTTTTATATTGAATGGAAGGTTGTTTTGACTCCTGAGCTGATTCCCGCTGAGGCACTTACCGGTTGCGAGTGTCTGCGAGGCCGGGCTCTATACCTGCTCGCTAAACAGTCCAGTAAGAGACGGCACAGAGCACACCCGTGAAGGGAGCCCATTCAAAGGCACCCTTGAGACCGGGGTGTCTTGATGAGCGCTCCCGTTCGGATATGGATGTTGCTAATCTCAGTTCTCCCTGGTTAGAGGTTTAGGAGATTTCGGAGCCGGAAAGCGTGCTCCCCGTGAGGACTCAGGCGTTTGGCTTCAGAGGCCTCCCCGAGTGCACGTGTCTAGCTGGCTGTGCGTGTCTTGCTGGCTGTGCGGGTGGGCGGGCAGGTGCCCGGTGCTCACGAGCTGCCTCCCTGGTCCCCCGCAGCTGCGCGAACTGGAGGACAAGTACGCCGAGTGCATGGAGATGCTCCACGAGGCGCAAGAGGAGCTCAAGAACCTCCGGAACAAGACGGTGCCCAACACCACGTCCCGGCGCTACCACTCGCTGGGCCTGTTCCCCATGGTACGTGCCTCCGTGCCTCCGCTGCTGCTGCGCGGGACACCCCGGGCTCACCCAGAGGCGGGCTGGGGTGGAGCCTGGGGGGGCGGCCTCTCGTTTTGCAGCGTGGATCGGGTTCGAGCTGCGGGCTCCTGAGCCCAGCTGGCAGCCTCTTAGCCACGTGAGACAGACGGGTTCTTCACTTTCCATCCCTCTCACACTCACCTTTTCTCCGCCTGCTTTGATGAGAGAGGAACTAGATGGAGTAGTAACCTCGGGTGTTGGGAAGGTGTTACTTATCCATGATTTTTTCTGATCTGATGAGGGTATGGGCTACTTCGGCTGCGCCAGTGCATCCCAGAATTCCTGAGTGGCCCGCGTGGTGCTGCTGGCTCTCTGTCGGCCGGTTAATCGTTATGCCGGTGGCATCAGTATCTGTGATCTAAAAAGATCTTTCTCTCTGTTCCGGGGGGGAAGGGGGGGTTATGTTGTCCATATTTCCCCGCCGTCTCATTGTTCAGCCCTGGCCTGACTTGTTCACTGTTGGGCTGTAGAGAGCAGGGCTGAGAAGGGGCTTGGCAGGAGGTCAGCTCTCCCTCTGGTGCTTGGGCAGTCGCCCTGGCTGGTCACGTCCCTGTGAGACGTGGTGAGCTCCCTCACTCTGTCCTCTCTTCGCCGCGGCCCTGGGAGGCGAGCACCTTGTCTCTTTGCCGTTTCCCTAGAGCTGCAGGTGCTTAATAGATTCGGGTGGTGGGCGGACAGACTGGAGAACAGCGGCCCAGAATGTTTGTATCTGGGCTCCGTTTCCATGGTTTGATGAAATACCGGGTTCCAAGGAGAGAACGTCTGAGAGAAGCTCCCCTGAACGTGGTGGGAGTGGACGGCCGTGGAAGTGTTTGTGGAACTCAGAAGGTACTGAGTTCAGCCCCTTCTGAATTATCCTTGGGGCTCTTTCCCTTCACCCACCCCTTGTTGTCTGGTCCACTCTTCCTAAATCAGGGGCGGGGAACCTTTTTCCTGCCAAGGGCCACTTGGATATTTATAACTCATTTGCTTAATATCATTCACTTAATATAAACTTATGTTGCTATGGAAAAAAAAGCTCCTAAATTTATTGAATTTCAAGTCCTGCTTGCAGTTGCCTGGGCAGGGCCAGACCAAATGATTTCGAGGGCCTTCTACGGCCCGCAGGCTGGACGTTCCCCACCCCTGTCCGAGATCATGACCTCTTTTTCCTTGTTGCTCTCATACATCCAAGTCAGGCTAGAGCTCTCTCTCTTCTTCTCTCGACCTGATTGAAATCTACTGCGACCAAAAAGGCACACAACGTGGTCAGTTCCCCAAGGAGCAGGCCGGCTGGCGATCCAGGATTCCAGGGATCCCCGGGAAGAGTGTTCTGTCCCCCAGTTCCTCGACTAGAGCTGACCACACCGGCTCCCAGACTCGCCTGTGTAGCTTTACACACTTCTCGCCTCGGTTTCCCTCCTTCCTGGCTTCTCACCGGGGCGCAGTGGTCTCCAGACCCTAGGACTCTCCCCATTGCATTCCCCACCCTCCAGGACAGACCTGTGTTTTTTCAGATCGAAACCATTGCCTGAGGAAAGTGGGGTTGGAAATCTGCGGCCGGGTTTCCTCTGCAGAGAGCCTCAGCGTTCCTGTTCGCTGAGATGAAGCTTTTGTTTGTCTCTCTCTGTAGCTGATGGCACAGCTCTGTGTTTGAAGATGTCTATCTTTAAAGTGCATGATGCATTAAAGGTACTTAAATCAAACTAACGTCAATCCATTGGAGTTAAATGCAATCAAGAATTCAGTTCCTCAGGCACAGGGGCCCCATTTCCAGGGCTCAGCAGCCCCGGGTGGCTGGTGGCCCCTCGCTGGACAGAAAGGGAGCATTCCCGGCATCGCGGGGATGCTGGTGGTCAGCGCGGCTTTAGCCCTTACGTTGACCTCCTCTGAGGCCTTCGCAGGTGCTTTTCTGCCTGCACCTGGTTCTGTGGGCGTCTCCCTATATCCGTGTGTGGGATTGTCCGTAGGGCTCTACCTCACACAGTGAGAAGTGGTGGGCGGCTCAGAACCTGTGTGAGCTGAGCAGTTACCAGCCCCCAGACGGGGAGGACAATAGCTTAGTGCAGCCCCTGTGGGCATGACCTCACCTGGCTGCTCAGAAGCGGGGCGGTCCATGGGAACTTGCCCATCAGTGTCATTCGGAACAGGCCTCTCTTCCTCCCTAAGTTCCCCGCCTCTCCTGTGGCCACAGTTGGGGTTCCGTGGTTTGGCCAAGGGAGCGTAGGATTTGCTTTCAGACCCTCAGCCGCATGGAAGCAAAGGGGCTTTCGGACACTCGGTGCCGTTCTGTGCCTGCCGTGTTCAGAACCTGCCTGGGGATGGCTCAGCCAGGGCCTCTGACCATGGCAAATGCTCTCAGCCTTGCATTGTGGGACGTTTGTGGTCTCTGAGGCCTCAGTTTACCCTTCTGTGGCCAGCCCGAGCACGAGCCTCTTTTAGAGATAGAGTTGCAGCTCACACGGGTGTCTTCTGGCTTTTCCCAGGACTCCCTGGCAGCCGAGATCGAGGGGACGATGCGGAAGGAGCTGCAGTTGGAAGAGCCCGAGTCACCAGACATCGCGTAAGGCCTTACCTCTGAGCTTCCCTAAGGGACCACCTGGCGCCCAGCGGTGGTCAAAACGAGCCATGTTTGGGCCTCAGGCACCAACAGTGATCACTGCGGTCCCTCCACAGACTAAGGGAAATGAGAGGACACAGCTGACATCCCCCCCAGCTGTTAAAGATAGATTATGATCTTCCAGGAGGTTGGGACGGAGAGATGTATTTAACATCTCCACACAAGTGCCGTCTTGACACCTCCACTCATTTTCATCTTCCCTCTCAGTGAAAACCATTATTTTTAAAACGTTAACATCTGTTAGGAAGAGGAAAAGCAGGGTGCGAGATACACCTTCAGGGGTGTGAGCAAGGCGTCCACTCCCTTCTGGATCCGTTTAGGGGTGTGGGCCTCCGCCATCTCTCTCCCTAACTCGCGACCTCGTGCTGAGGTGCGAGGAGGAACCCGTGGGTCCGATTTCATCGTGTTTTCTCTGTACCGAAACCCCAGAGGCAGAACCGAAGAGGGATGATGGGTCCTGCGCGTGGCTCGTATCCAGAGCTTCGGCCCCATCCCAGAAAGATGCGTCCGTTATGGAAACGTGCCCTTTTCTCCTTAAAAGGAAACAAATGGGCATCAAAATGTGTGGCTCTGCTCTTAGAAATAGTTTCTAAAAACAGACTGATCTGATGTTCATCATCTCAGAAGTTTGACTGACTTGAAGTCTTGCTTTTTTTATACAGTCATGTGCCACCTAATAATGACTTTCAGTCCGTGACGGACCACACATACGACGGGGGCCCCCATACGGTTAAAAAGGAGCTGAAAACTCCTGCCACCTAGTGACACCAAAGCTGTCACAACGTCACAACACAAAGCGTCACGATCGTGGCGGTGCTGGTGTAAACAGACTGACGGTGCTGCCACGCGTATAAAAGCATCGCATACAGTTATGCACAGTATTGAATGCTGGACAATGACAATAGAGGACTCGGTTACGGGTTTATGGATTTATTATACTTTTTATCATTTTTAGAGGGTACCCTCTCTACTTAAAAAAGTAAGTTTGCTGTTAGTGTGCCGTGTGACGCCGGCAGCAGCCTCACATACCCCCGTTTCACCGCGTCTCTTGATCGCATTGTTCGCTTGTGTTTGCTTTAATCTCCGGTGGTTTTGCACAGCAGCAGGCGGGACAGGTTTGCGGCCTCGGGGCCCTGGGCTCCGCCACCGAGGCGTGTGTCAGTGCCCGCCGCAGCGTTCGCGCAGCGACCAAACTGCGTAACGAAGTATTTCTCAAACTGTGGCCCTGTCATCGAGCGGCACGTGACCGTGTGGGAATGGTCAGGACGTGCTCCTTCTACAGATACTTGCTGAGCCCTGTTAGGTGCAGAGCAGTAAACACTGCCTCCTGGGGTTTGCCTTCGGGCGATGCTCATGAAGAAGGAGAACTAGCCGGGAGACAGCACGACTTGAGTATTTTTATTTGGAGGCCAAGCTGGAGGGGGGCGGGAAGCAGGATCGCTCCTGCTAGCATCCCCGTTAGGACACAAGCATGTGTGAGAGCCCCGACGTCAGTGGGTGGTGAGTCTCCTGCACTCCAGCCAGCACCCTGAGAAACACGTGCAAGGCCCAGGAGGGCAGGTTGTTGGGCGCTCACGTGGGCCGGCTACCTTCCTGGCTTCCCCGTGGATCCTTTCGGGAGGGTTTAACGCCAGGGTCGTTCCTACACTTGCTCACTCACGGGTGGTGGTGTGCATCCTCCCCAGTCACCAGAAGCGAGTCTTCGAGACCGTGAGGAACATCAACCAGGTGGTCAAGCAGAGGTCCCTGACGCCCTCCCCCATGAACATCCCCGGCTCCAACCAGTCCTCGGCCATGAACTCCCTCCTGTCCAGCTGCGTCAGCACCCCCCGGTCCAGCTTCTACGGCAGCGACGTCGGCAACGTCGTCCTGGACAACAAGACCAACAGCATCATCCTGGAGGCAGAGGCGGCCAACCTGGGGTGAGCGGCGGGCGCTGGTGCTTTTGTGTGCGGGAGACGGATGGGTGTGGAGTGAACGCAGGGTCAGTCCTCAGAGGGGGGAGACCGATAGGAATCGCCTGGAAGATACAGACCCTTCAGTTCTCAGATGTGTTTCACCGATCCGCTGAGCCCAGGCTTAGCCCTGACGCCGATCTTGTCACCAGTCGAAAGGGTGTGGCAGGACGCGGCGGGGAGTCTGCCGCTCTGTAAAGTGCCGAAGGGCGGGATACGTGAACGTGTGTCTGTTCATCTTCATGGTGAAGGCTACAGTGTAGACATTTGTTTCACGGACCCTTTGGTGACTGGGATGTTCGAAAGGTTGAGGAGCACCCAGGCTCTATCTCATGAATCTGGTTTGCTTCGGAAGGTGGGGTGCGGGGCGCCCCGCAAGTGCCCGCCACACCGAGTGTCCCCGGGTGGCCCTTCCTCCGCAGGGGTCGCCCCTCTCCATCCTGAAGCCCTGCAGAACCCCGCCCCCTGCACACTGTCTACTGCGTGCACACGAATCCTGTGACTGCATAACATTGTTTTTTCTGACCAGTTGGGAAACTGCTTGGTCAGAACAGCTTGGAGCTTTCAGCTCCTTAAATTTAAGAAGAAAGAGGGGAGTCCCTTGAGCCTGCGGCCCTTCCTCTAACTAGGAGCCGCAGCTGAAGAAGGCTTCTTCCCCAGGGAGGTGTTGAGAGGACTGGATTTTACATCGTGTATGCAAGTTTTCATTCTGCCTGAGTGCCTTCTTCCTCTGTTCTCCCTTACCCCCAGTCCCACCCCCCCACCCCAAAAAACCAATAGAGCAGTGGTTCTCAACCTTCCTAATACTGCGACCCTTTAATACAGTTCCTCATGTTGTGGTGACCCCAAATTTCATTGTTACAAATTGAACATAATTAAAGCATAGTGATTAATCACAAAAACAATATGTAATTATATATGTGTTTTCCGATGGTCTTAGGCGACCCCTTGTGAAAGGGTCGTTCGACCCCCAAAGGGGTTGCGACCCACAGGTTGAGAACCACTGCAACAGAGGGAATTAGTTCTTCAGGTTAAGCATTGTTTCTCTTTTTTTGGGTTAATCCTCACCAGAGAATCTTTTTTCCGTTGCCAGAGAGTAGAAGGGGGGGGGGGGGGGAGAGAAACATCTGTATGAGAGAGAGACACTGATTGGTTGCCTCCTGCACGTGCCCGGTAGGGGCTGGGGAACGAACCCGCAATCCAGGTACGTGCCCTTGACTGGGAATCGAACCCAAGATCCTTCCGTTCCCAGGCCGACGCTCTAACCACTGAGCCCACCGGCCAGGGCCATTTCCCCATTTTTGCCTACATCTCAACAGCCTGCTGTGGCTTCCTTAGAATACCCACAGTCACCCTTGCGCATTCAGCAGGAAGGCCTCATTGTGTGTGGTGCAGCGCCCCCTGCTGGGCGTGCCACGCTCACCCGTCTCCCCCTCCTTCCAGAAACAACGAGCAGAGCAAGAAGCCGGGGACACCGGGCACCCCAGGCTCCCACGACCTGGAGACGGCGCTGAGGCGGCTGTCCCTCCGCCGGGAGAACTACCTGTCGGAGAGGAGGTTCTTCGAGGAGGAGCAGGAGAGGAAGCTCCGGGAGCTGGCGGAGAAGGGCGAGCTGCTCAGCGGCTCCCTCACGCCCACCGAGAGCATCATGTCCCTGGGCACGCACTCCCGCTTCTCCGAGTTCACCGGCTTCTCGGGCATGTCCTTCGGCAGCCGCTCCTACCTGCCCGAGAAACTCCAGATCGTCAAGCCCCTGGAAGGTGATCACCGGGGCCCCCGGCCCCTCTCTGTCCTGCTCGGGGACTCCCTGTGGTCCCTGATCCACCACCGGCCCGTGGGGAGCGTCTGTCACGCCTACTCTTTCTTCTTCCGGGACAGCCACCCGCGCTGCTGGTTTGAGTTCCTCTGAGGGACTCTGGCCCAGGCCCCCAGCTCTGTCAGTCCCGTGCAGGTTGGGGTAAACACACACAGGCGCCCGCCTCTAACCTCGGCCAGGAAGCCAGCGAAAAGGACGTGCCCGTGTTGGCTCTCTAGTTCTCTTCGCTTTTGCATTTAGATCCTTAGCAGTACAGATATTTTGCATTTAGATCCTTAGCAATACAGATATTTTGCATTTAGATCCTTAGCAGTACAGATATTTTGCATTTAGATCCTTAGCAGTACAGATATTTTGCATTTAGATCCTTAGCAATACAGATATTTTGCATTTAGATCCTTAGCAATACAGATATTTTGCATTTAGATCCTTAGCAGTACAGATATTTTGCATTTAGATCCTTAGCAGTACAGATATTTTGCATTTAGATCCTTAGCAATACAGATACTGTTGAGAGCCAGAGGCACTGCTCACGGGCCTGCCCGCCAGGTCTGAGCAGCGTAGAGAATTCACGCTTTGGCTTCTCAGAAGTGTTGCTGTCAGGGAGCGGGTGCAAAGCTAACGCCCTAAGTTTTCTCAGTAACCACAGGAAAGCGATTTGCAGTTTGTCTTTGCACTTTGTCGGCTCATGTTCCGCTTTGACCTTCAAATAGGGTGGCTTTCTTCCTGTGCCCTGTTCTGAGCAAGGCCCCCAGACCACCGCTGTCTGGGTGCCAGGACGGGGTGGCTGTGGAGGCCTGTGAGTTCTGTGCCTTCTTGATCCTGCCTTTTCCTGGGGCAATTCCCTTTTTTGCTACCAGGGACACCCCAGGTGATTAAACTCCTGGAAAAACGCACCGGTTTTTCTCTCTTTTTCCTCTAAGCATTATAAAACGTCTGCCCTTTCCCCACCACTACCCGGCCACATCTTTGTATTTCTCATTTTTTACCCCTGTAGTTTGGGAACCCCGGTGAGTTTGAGAAGGTGTCTTAGAATTCTGAATTACATTTCTGGTGAAAAGCCAAATCAGAATTTCTGTGAGGCAGTATTTCTCAACTTTTAAGAAAAATTCCCCCCTTTAAGGAGCTGATTTAGATATCTATTCCCCCTGAAAATGTAATACCACAGGTATACCGTTCATGTACTATATGTATATCTGGGCTCTGTGCCTAAGAAGAGTAGATTCTTTTCACCCCACAAGAACCCATCTTCAGCCCCTTGAGGGTAGTATCTTCCCTGTTGGGAATTCCTGCCATAAGATGAAGTTCTGCTTATTAAAGACCCAAGACAACTGGGGTTCCATATTCTCCGAAGGAAGGAGGGTGGGTTATGTTCTTCTTTTCATGATTATTTTTTAATTGTATAAGTGAGGTCCTTCTTAGATTTCAAAAAAGGGACGGCTTTTTTCTTTTTCTTTTCATGTTTATTCAGTTGTAAGCTTGGTGATTGTTTTCTGATCCACGATTATGTCTGTTTTTCTTTCAATAAAATCTTCCATTTCTGCAATTTTGCTTTCTGCCTATCTTTTATTTATTTTTTTTCTCTTTTGTCTCTCAAAGATCATTGGTGTTTATCATCTCTATCTTGTCTGCTTTCTATATTTGACTTTGTGTTTCATTAGTTCATCGAAGAATATGTTTTTGGATCCATTTTCCAAGCATTATTGCAGGAAGAGATTTTTTAAAAAAATGCATTTTGACCAATGCACCTTTTTTTTTCTCTTTTAGTCTTGTGACTTAGGCAGCAGTATTTTTGTGATAAGTTAATGGAATAAGAGGAAATCCCTTTAGACTTACAAGATAAGTTTCATCTATAGTACCCTGCTTACCCGAACGCTAAAACCACTACCATTAAGAAGTCATCTCTTATTGCTATGGCCGGTAACACATCCGCACGATAGAAGTCCCTCTGGCTCCATTTGGTAGTTCTCGGTCTTTTTTTTGTTGTTTAAAATACAACCAATATTTTATTTCTTCCTTCCCTCCACAATTATTTTTTGTGTTACTAAGCTTACTTTGCTCAGGTGTACGGCTGGCATGGGAATCTGCCCGACCCTGAGTTCAGCGCAGCTGTAACCGTGACCTTGGATAAGCCACCTCACCTTTCTTGTCTGTGAAGTAGGGCTCCCGTCTCCCACACGATATTGTAATGAAGAGTAAACGTGATGTGCTTTGTATTACGCTCAGCACCCTAATTGGTGCTAATGAAAACTTAGGCTCCCCAAACTTAGCCCTGTTCGAGCAGCTCAGGTCTAACGGTGGCCTCACCGGTGTTGAGACCTGGACCTGCGTCGTGTTGGGTCCGTGCTCTTACATCACCTCTTTCCACTGGTCCACTAAGAAGCTGGTAGGATTCCCGTCCCCTCCAGTGACCCTGGTAACTGTACCTGCGGTGAGGCCCCTGGAGACGGGTGGCTGGGATCACAGCAGATAGCCAATCTGCGTCTTCCATCGGCATCTCCCTGCCTGCTTCATCAATCTTGCCGTCTGCTTGTTGGAGTCGGCCAAGATCGCCGGCTCGGTGTTGAAGCCCGCGGGCGCTCTTGTTTCCTCCGCTGACCTTATGTGTGTTAAGCAGGTGACAGACAAAACAATCAGACTAGGAGAGATCTGTGTTACAAAGGTGAATCAGGCAGTGTATTTCCCTCCCTGGATTTTGCTCTTCCTTTCGGATTAGTTATAACCAAGATAGCATTTCCAAATAAACAAGATCATATGTAATTAGGGGAAAGCGCACACTTGTAAGCTGTAGGTTACCCAGCAGGTTTAGTTCTAACTTTTAGGCCCCGGGTGCTCCTCTGACATAAATGGATTTGCTTTTTTTTCTTCTTCGATGACGTGAATACTTTTTAGTTTTAACAGTGGGGTGTGAAAGGAAGGCAAACGGGGGAAGGGGCGGTGACCATAACTGTGTTCTCTGTACTGCCCATGCCCGTGTTTCGTAGAATTTCATCTTGGTGCCAACTAGAAGCACGACGGTTCCTCTCTCCACCTGCCCCGTTGTCTGACCGCAGCCTCATTCTCATGGGGCGGGAGGAGGGGGTAGTGGTGGGAAGTAGCTGATAGTGCAGTCAGCCCTCACTTCACGTCGTCCATAGTTTCTTGGAATTGCCGTGCCGGTGTGTCGTTGACCTGACTCCCGAGACTTGCCTCTGGGAGGCCGAGAGGCAGGCTGTGTGGTTCAGAGGGTGGGCCCTGGAGCCAGCCTGGGTTTGAATCCCAGATTGGCCATTGGCCAGCTGTGCAGCCTCTGGCAAGTTACTTTACCTCCCTGTGCGCGGTTTCCTCCTCTGTAAAGTGGGGACAACAGGGTTATCGTGACGATGAAGTGAGCTCATAAATGTAGACCTCTAAGGAGAGCGCCTGGCACTTCGTACAAGTTAGCTGCTTGATGAGTAAGGGAGGCCTGAGTCTTGGGGTAAAAATCCAAGGCCATGCATCATCTTGCAGCATAATCTTTCATTTGTCATCTCACTACCTTTCCTTGGCTGTGCGTTGTCGGGGAATGCAGATAACCCCCCGCACTTCCGTAGCCTCTTTAACGCCCAAAGCAGACCCGTTGCAGCCTTATTTCTCTCGGTAGCCCTTACAGAGCGGGGAGATGGGGGCAGTCCTTTGAACAGGAAGATCGAGGTGCATGGACTCTGGGCCCATCCTCCAGCCTCACCGAGTTCTTCCCCAGAACATTGCAAACGTCTCGAGCCCCTTTCCTGACACAGTGTCGACTTTCCCGTTTTTCCCCTTCCAGAAGTAGAGGTGACACGGCCACGCTGCTCCTGGGGGCTTCTCATCATCCTTGTAAGACCCATACGTGCAGTCCGAGCTGGAGGCCATATTCCCCATGTGCTTTAGCTGCAGGAAAGTGTCTGTGCCTCCAGCAAACACATAAGCAGGGACCATTGTGGGTGATGAATGGGGGTCCTGTGGGGGGTGAGGCATGAGAAATCCCATCAGCAGAAGTGTGTGTGTGTCTCCTGGCGGGCACTGGGCACCCACCTGGCAGTTTTACTGCCCACCATGTATGCTTCTCGCTGGCTGGAGCACTGATGTCCTTGCTTGTTTGCAGACCTGTGGATTGGGGTATTGAGGGAGAGGGCAGAGATTGCTGAACGAACCTGGCCTTGAGCACTGAACCCTGGCTGTGCCACCCCTGGTTCAGTGACTTGGCAAAGTCATGTCACTTCCTTGAGCCTCAGTGGGTAATAATACTCACCTCGTAGGGCAGGGCAGCTTTGAGGAGTGAGTTGATGTAACACCTCTAAAGCTAGCTGTCACGCAGGCGTGCCTCAGGACAGGGGAGCTCTTTGTAAACGTGCTGCTGCGGCCCCTGGGACTCAGGATCCCACCAACGGGTCTCAGCGGGTGTGCAAAGCCCTGGCCGTGTGCACACAGCGGCGCTTCTAGGTGAGATGCCTTTGGGGAGAGGGTCCATGGCTGCCTCCAGGGTCCCAAAGGATCTGAGAATAAGGGCCACGGGCCGAGGCCAGGGTTCCCCATCGGCACTGCTGGCGTTGGGGGCCAGGTCATCCTTTGTCGGGGGGGCTGTCCTGCGTGTGTGGGATGGACATCAGCGTCCCCGGCTTTGCCCACTGGATGCCATGAGCATGTTCCTCCGCGGTTGTGGCAACAACAGTGCCTCTGGGCAGTTCCAGATGTCCCCGTGGAGAACCACTGCTCTAAGGGAGAGAACAGCTGTGTGGTGCCCTGGGTCACGATAGGCATCTCTTTTTTACGATACTACTTCTCTTTTTTGCATTTGGAATATTTTCTACTTATGGCCAATAGATGCCGGGTAAGTAGGCTGCTGCTATTCTTATGCAAATGAGACAGACCTCAAAGCGGGGTCCAGGGAGTCTCCTAAACATGTGCAGGCAGTGCGGGCCAGTTTTTCCCTCTCTTATTTACGTGGATCCGAAATGGCCCATTGACGAAATTCTTTCACTGCTCCTTGGCTGAGATTGCCCCCCGGGAAGTTACTTTCCAGCTGTGATGAGAGATGGGGCCCTCACTGAGCACCCCCCCCCCCCCCGGCCCGCCCCCAGATCTGGAGCTCCTGATCGATGAGCTAGGGTTCTCTGCTTCTTGGTCACATTCCTGGTTGGCTTCCTGACCTCACCCCCCGCCTGTCCCTTCTGTTCCATCCTGACTTCCTGAGCTGCTGGCTCCTGCGTCCGCTGCTCTCCTTCCTGACGGGGCAGCCTGGTGGCCTGGAGGGGTTCTTGCCCACCCAACAGAGGACACCATTGGTGACCCAGCAGTGACCATCTCAGGCCATGTGCGCGGAAGGCTCTTGCTTGCCCGGGCCCGAGACCCTCTCACAGTCTGCCTGGCGTGTAGAACATGTATTTGTGTGGTTAACTTCATCTGGAGAACAGGGCTGGACCGCCCAGCCTCCCGGGCCGTGCACCCGGCGTACCAGGGCCACACCAGGTGTAGCAAGTGTTCTCAGGGGGCAGATTCAGCCCAGAGCAACGTACGAAAGATTCTGGGATGAGCCTCCGTAGATGCACGCCTGAACCCAGGCGTCCCAAGCACACCTGGTCTTGGCACGCTTCTCCCTGTGAGCACCTGTGACACCGCCAGGTCCTTAGGGACACGCGCTGGTGTCATTACAGACCATGCACAGTGTCATCTGAGTCCCAGGCTCCGGTGTCACTGAGGAGATCGGCTCCTCGGCCTCAGGCCCCGGTGAGGACTGGCCAAGGGCTTCCATCACAACCCTTTAGGCCGGACCCCATCCCTAAACCAGAGGTCGCTGGCAGACACAGAACAACTAAGTAAAGGAGGCCATGGCGGTGTCCTCCCCTCCCCCATCGTGTGCCGCTTCCGTTTCTTTCTGCCTCCCTCTCCTTGTGGCGCCTGGGCTTGGCGTGGCATTGCCCCAGCCTGCTCTGCTGTGTCCCCCTGGCCCCCGCAGCGTGTGATCCACGGTCAGGCAGGCTGTCCCCGCCCCCGACACCTTTTGTGTCAGCTTTGCTTATTTTCTACCGCTTCCGTTTCTAAAGTGATCCTGTGTTGGATCTGGAGGTTGACATCAGTTGACTTAAAATAAAGGGTTTGTCCCAAACACAGTATGGCATGAATTTCACTTAAAAAAAATTTTTTTAATTCCTTAAATCGGTGCCCCTTCCGGGCGCGGTGGGTCTTAGCTACTGTTACAGAGGGAGGGGGAGGCAGCACCCCCGTGTCCCTCCCAGGGCCCACCTGCTGCGGGGCTCGCGTCCTGCTGGGGCCCCGAGGGTGGCGAGCGGCCGTCGGCTTAGACGTGCATCCTAACCCTCTCTTCTCCCTGCCCCCGTTGTCCGCCTTCTCTCCTGCAAGGTTCTGCCACCCTTCACCACTGGCAGCAGTTGGCCCAGCCTCACCTCGGGGGCATCCTGGACCCCCGGCCGGGTGTGGTCACCAAGGGCTTCCGGACGCTGGACGTAGACGTGGACGAAGTGTACTGCCTTAACGACTTTGAAGAAGATGACACAGGTGACCACATTTCCCCCCGGGGCCTAGCTACCTCCACGCCAGTGCAGCACCCAGAGACCTCAGGTGAGAGGTCCCGAGCGCACGTGACTGTCGCAGGCGGCAGAAGCTCCCCGAGCCGGCCTCAGGCTTTCCCAGAAGAGATGCAGGAGCCAGCGGCCGCAGAGGAGCAGGAGGAGGAGGAGGGGTCTGGTGAGGGCACCGAGATAAGTCCTGTACACCCGGCACCTTCACCGGAGGCAGAGTTCTGGGCCATTCTCACCTCTGTTCCGAGCTCCATCCGTAGTGGCTCTCTGTCTGTAGCTTCCGCGCGTCCGTGTGGGTGATGATGGAAGCATTCCCATTGCGCACACAGTCTGTTTCTGACACACAGTCTGATGCCTCCTTTCGTAACACGTGGGCACAGCTCCCTGCCCATCTTGGAGGCACACGCCCAGCGGGGCTCTGGACATCGGAGCAGGAGAGGCTGCTAAAAAGAAGTGGATTCTTGTCCCCACCCACCCTCCCCAGAACACCACCCCTCTCCCCCTGTGTCTGAGGGACAGATCCTTGAGTCTCCTGGCCATTTCCACACTGAGCTGAGCTGAGCTGAGCTGAGCTGGGCAGTTCAGGGAAATGAGTTCCGGATCGTTCCGAAGGTGAATGAGACCCCGTTACCTGCATGCTGCATCAGAGCAGGAGAGAGCCCAGAAAGTGCGGGATTTTAGTCGCCCGTCGGTCAGCCTTGGTCCTTTTCTAACTTGGATGCAGGTATCTGTGCCCCTGCCCAGCATGTTTGTTCGGAGTGGGTTTTTAAGAAGTGTTGTAGCCATGCTCCCGAACCACACCAAGCCGATGACGGCAGGAAGCTGTCCCAGAGAGAGGCGCAGGATGAATCTGGAAAGCTCATGGCTCGCCTCCCCTCTAAACCGCCCCCACACTGTCCCAACAAGCATGAAAGCCATGGCCGAGAGTTGATAGAACTGCCCACGTCCCAGGTGCACGGGCTTGAAAAGCTTCGTGCTCGGGGCCTGGGACCCAGGGGCCATGGGGTTAGGATTTGCCAGACCTCCAGGACCGCCTGGCTGCTTGGCTAGGAAGGCAGGGAAGCTTGTATGGGATAAGGGGAGAGACCCAGAAAAGGAAGGATCAGCCAATGTCTTCCTCCTCGTGACAGTCCCGGGAGACCAAGCCTGAAAAGAGGATGTTCGCTCATCTTGGTGGGTCTTGACTTTCATTCGTGAAGGCCGCCACATCCCCTGTGCAGTGCAGGCGGACAGGGCCGGGGCTCCTGGCGGCATCTGCCAGCCCCTGGCTGAGTTCATACGGCCAAGGGACGTTAGGGGGGACCAACGTGTTTTTTTTCTCTAACATAAACTTTAGAGGCCTCATCGAGTTCAAAGGATTTGCTTAGCAAACAGGTTTATTTGTGGTTTGTTCTCTTTTCCGTAGCAATTAAGTTACCAGATTAAGCTTGGAGGGGATGCCCACGCTTGTGTAGTATCTTCACACCTAAGAGGGGGAACCCAGCGCTGTTGGTGCCTCCCTTTGTTAGGGGCACCAGGAAGGCAGACAACAGTTCAGGAAACAGCGCCGGCTGATCCTTGTGGCTGACGTGGGAGGGGATCCTGTCGCGTGTGAGGGCCGCTCCCTGCAGCCCTACACCTGGAACGGGTGTATCTGGAAGTGGGAAGAAGCACCTTTAAGTTGTACAGAAGGAGTACAGCTCAGCAAGTCAGCTGAGAGAGAACTCCTCTCGGAAGGTGGAGGGAGAGAGGGGCCGAGGAGGAGGGCCTGAGTCCTGACTGCTTTTCTTACTGAAACGGAGGCGTAGTTCTTGCTTCCTCCCTCCAAACTCAAACCCGGCAGCAGATCCATCCCAGCGCCTCGGGGCGGTTGGAAGTGAGCGGTCCAACAGAAGTGTGTGGATTGCTGAAGGGGATTTAGGAAAGGTCTGATTGTTTAGACCAGAGTTTTCAGGGCTTGTTTTCTGGGTGAGACCCATGAAAAGCTCAGTGCAGAAAGGAAAGGCAGGACAAGACCCTTTCAATTCCTGGAATGAAAGAAGTACTTCACTCTGAATACTGACCCCAGAGGCCCCGAGGGGCACTAGGCACACAATCTTGGAGTCAAGGGTGGGCACTGAGCGTCAGCAGGAAGGCCTGGGCATCTTCCATCTTGGCGTTTGTATCCAGACTGTTTTGGTCCCCACCCTAGTCCACCCTCCATGCTCCGGCCCTTGTGTCCCAGGAGCTGCCACCTGCCTGGGAAGACTGAGTAGGGAGAAACTTAGAAGTGATTCACCTTTTTTTCTTGCAACTGATGATGTAAGGAAATTGGGAAGTCTTTACACCAGGCACTTTTGTCTAGAGTCTGCTGTCTCATGGAGAAAAAGTTTTGAGTGCATATTGAAAAAAAAATTTATTAACATATTTTCGTGTATTATTTTTGTATCATTATTTGCTGTTTTTTTTATAATCCCATGTCTTGAAAACAATGAGTCCTTGTTTTCATATTTGTAAACAATTTAGATAATTAAAGTGGATTGTTTAAAACAATTTTAGATTATAGTTTTACTTTATTTCAGTGACATTTTATGATTTAATTCATCTAGAAAGGGCACTTTATCAGAAGAAGGAGTTTACTTGCCTTGCTTGTGCTCTGAATTTTATGTAGTCATGAGCAGGAAAGAGCCTGTGTGTGGTAAAGGATTAGATTAGAGTTTTTTTAAAGTATGCAGCTATGATGGTAGATGTTTGGACAGACAATTTAGTTGAATTTTCTTGGATGCCTTGATCTTTAAAGGGGAGAAGGAGGTGAGATAGAAGAAAGCGAAGATCAGTTTATTTTAATACTCAGACATGTGGAGCCTATTTAAAGGGAAGGGGGTATCCTAAAAAAGGCTCCTACAGGTATACAGATCACGGCAGCCTTCGCACAGCGGCCGTAGGGGGCTGTGCCTCATCTCTGGTTGCATTTTCTATCTGGCAGCTGTGTGGGCTCACGTGAGGGGTCCTTTAAGGACCAGATGCCACAGTGGACTTTAGAGAGGAAAGTTTCTGCTCTCCCAGCACCTTACTAGCCTGTCCTCCCTGTGGATGAGGGAGGACGGGCACCATTCAAAAGGACTGACGTGCATGAGCTGGTGTGTACACATCTGCCTCGCGGCTGGCCAGACAGAAGAGTTCCAGGCGTCCTCAGTTCCCCACCAGAGTGTACTTGGCTTGTTCCATCTTCCTCTTCTCACCATTAGTGCCATGGGCCGTGGGGAGAAGGTGGGCTTTCCTGCCCATCCCCCCCTGGAAGCCCGAGTTCCATCAGCAGCAATCACCAGGTCTCTGCGTTAGTCACCAGGTCTACGTAGCAATCATCGAGTCCATAGCAATCACCAGGTCTACGTAGCAATCACCGAGTCTATAGCAATTACCAGGTCTAGTAGCAGTTACCAGGTCTAGTAGAAACCACCAGGTCTACTAGCAATCACCAGGTTTACTAGAAACCACCAGGTCTACTAGCAATCACCAGGTTTACTAGAAACCACCAGGTCTACTAGAAACCACCAGGTCTACTAGCAATCACCAGGTTTACTAGAAACCACCAGGTCTAGTAGAAACCACCAGGTCTACTAGCAATCACCAGGTTTACTAGAAACCACCAGGTCTAGTAGAAACCACCAGGTCTACTAGCAATCACCAGGTTTACTAGAAACCACCAGGTCTAGTAGAAACCACCAGGTCTACTAGAAACCACCAGGTCTAGCAGCAATCACCAGGTCTACGTAGTGTACTTGCAGATAACCTCCAGCACAGTCTGCAGGGGCCTCTGGGCCATCGCTGGAAATGGGATGGGGTAGGGTGCCAGGCCCCCCCATGACTGGTGCAGCAGCAGGATCCCAAGCACCCAGTTTTCCAGTTGGTACCAGGTTTCACGGGCCCCCAGAGGAGCCTAGCACTCCGAACCCTTTCCCTAGTGCACCTCTCCAGGCAGAAAGAGACACGTTGGACGGATCAGAGAGTGGTGAGCAGGGTGCCTGTCGCCCGTACAAGCCCTCCAGCGCCCACTGCAGCTGCCTGAAGGGCATGTGCTTGCGCGTGCCAGGCTTTCAGAACAGAAATCCGCACACGCACCACCGGTATGTAGTTCACCAGCGGAGGCCTCGAATGATCCAGGACTCATTAAGTGTAAAGGTGATCTCCGACCCATGAGGATGTTGTGCCAGTGTCAGGACCTGGGGAAGGAGGAACACACCAAACTGATGGAGGGCTAGGGGGTTTACTGGGCAGTGTCCCTTCCTTCCTGAATAAAATCCCGATGAAGCCGGTTACTCTCTCCGCACAGCTCTGAGGAAAAGTCAGGCTGAGAAGAAGAAGAAGGGCTTAAGTAGGAAGTCCGAGCACTGAGTCCAAGAACCCGTGTCCTCGGAGCCCCGAGTGAGCAGCACCGCGGGCAGGGCCCCGTGCGGTGGGGACAGGGGACTTCAGCAGTGAGCCGCCCGCCCCTGCCCTGTCTCTTTCCTATGAGGACAGCTCTGTCCTGCTCGCAGGGTGGTAGGAATCGACCTGGAGCTGCTCTGTGGCCGCACAAGGAGCCCCGGGCGACTCACTCACTGTCCCTGTGTTGTGTCCCAAGGAAGGGAGGTGCTGCAGCGGCCGGGCAGGCGGTGGTGACACATGCGGAGAGAGCTGACGGGCCCCGGTGTCCCAGCGGTATTTCCAAGGGGTCGAACCTCTGGCTTTGGCACTTTTGATGCGGGTTGATCTTCCTTGGTCTTCTCAACCCATCTCTTACTTCTGGGGGACAATGACTTCCGAATTTTAGCAGCCTTTTCCTCTCCGCAAAATCCATTTGCATTCGATGGGTTTTGCTTCTGCTGATGCAACTGTGTCTCTGAAATGTCCATCTTATACCCCCTGTTGCAATCGAAGGTCCAGATGTGATGGGGGAGGAGGAAGTGGGCATCGAGTCCCTTTGATTTGATGTTCTGGCCATGCGTTTAAATGGGGCGCGCTTCTGGTTTCAAATCCAGCCTTGCTTTTGTTTGCCATCTTTTTCAAATGTTATCTGTCTCTCACTTCTTTCGTCTTAATAACTTCCATGTACTGCCTTTTCCTCCCCTCCCTCCCGCCTGAATAACTCCCTGCGTTATTTGGGTGCCTTTCTCAGCTGTTCTGTTGCTTTTGTTTCTAGACCTTGTGGCAGGCAAAGACTCGTGATTGTTCGGTTGCCTTTTTCCGTAGCTTATTCCATTTTTGTTTTGCTCGCAGCAGTTTCTCGGTTATCCGAGTCCCTAAGCCATTCCATCTATTGGTTGAGCAGCACAGATTCACAAAGGCTATTTTTATGTGCCTCCCCCCTCACCCCCCACCTTGGCCTGGAGCTCCCTGTGGTTGAGAGTTTGCTTCCGTGGCCGTGGCGCTGGCTGCCACGCCAGGGGCCACGGAAGCCTCCCTTGACCCAGAGAGGTGGGTCGGACCATAATAATCAGGACGAACCAGTCCCGTGTTGCTCCTTGAGTCACCGCTGCCATTTTTGTGCTCTGGCTCTGTCCTGCCTGCCTTCAATTTGCGTGTCTCCAACATTTTTTGTTTATTTGTTTCATCGGGTTTCCAGTTGGGGTTTTTTGTTTTTGTTTTCGTGTTTGTGTTTTTAAAGACACAATCACTCGTGTGGATCTGGGTCTGGAGCACCAATTTCTTCTGTTTTGGACAAATCCAAGAGAAAACTTGCCATCAAGAGCTGGAAGATTCTCATTCGCTGCCTTTTGAATCTTCAGGGTGCTCATGGCCTCTGATACTTGAATCCGTTTTCTCCCAGGAGGTCTCTGGGGGCTGAGCTGCTGCAGGGGGTGGGGGGCGGGGCGGGCAGGGGTACCTCGGTCCTTCATCATGCATGCTAGTTGGAGCAGCATTTTTTCCTTTTTTATTTTATTATTTTTAATGTTTGAGTTATGAACGAGGATGACCTCTACAATCATGATGTCTCCTGTAGACCTCACTACCCATCACTCACCAGCCTGCTGCTGCATGGTCCCTACGCTTCTGTGATCCACTCTGCTCCAGCTCACAGCCTCCAGCCGCCTTAGCAATAACTCTGGAGACCTGCAAAAGGAAGTCAGTGGGAGGAAACTTGTGGCCGTCTCATTTTCGTTAAAATCAGGCATCCTGGAGACGCAGGAAAGCGGCCCGGGGTGGGGCTGGTGCTGCCGGCATCGCCATGTCAGGCAGCACCGCACGCGGCCCCGGGGCTGGTCTCAGCCACGTTGTTGCTGAGGCAGCTGAGCTCTCACATCCCCGCTGCAGACCGCACACAGGCAGTAGTGGAACCAGCCTGCCCAGGCCGCGCCCCTTTTGTGTCAGCAGAAAAGGGAGCCCCGTGAGCCTTGCCCTATTTCCAGGGGGCAAGCGCCTCTCCCCACCCACCCCGTGCCCCTCCCCTCCGTTTGGCAGAGCTTGGCAGCCGTTTGCCAGTGGAAAGCAAAGCAAAGCCACAAAGACAAGCCGATTCTGACCTCTGAAGAGGGAAACCAAACTGACCCCCGCGGGCCTCTTAGCCCCTCACACTGGATCCACTACTGACCCGAGAACGCGATGCGCGGCCCTGTCCGGACTGGGTCGGAAGCTGGGGTTCGGTGCCCCGCACGCCAGTGCTCAGAAGTGTGGCTGCTTTTGAGGGACCACCTTCGAGCCAGAACATTTGCGTTGCACCTTCCTGGCCCAGATCCGGTTCCCAAGGTAGCGCATCGCTTCTTGCACCTGTTGAGGGCCGAGCTTGCGCTCTCCTTTTCTCCTGGGTGTACTTGGATGCGAGAAATATGTTTTGTCCCTTCCCCCTCCTCCAATCTAGCACACCACCCTGGGAAGTGCATGTCGCAGACCAACTCCACCTTCACCTTCACCACCTGTCGCATCCTGCATCCTTCAGACGAGCTCACGCGAGTCACGCCAAGGTAAGGGACCCCAGGCCTGGGGGGGAGCGGGGGTGGGGTGAGGTGGGGGCTCTCCCTGCGAGACGTAATGCCGAGGAAAGCCCAAGTAGAGAGGCTCATTCAACACTGCCTTGTCCAGCTGGCGCCATCTCATAAGTTCCTGCAGGCTCCTGTTCAGGGTCCCGTGTTTCCGTTTGTCCTGAGGTCCCTGTTAATTCAGATCCAGGCAGATAGAGGCTGGACCACCTTCTGTTGCCCTTTTCGTTGGTCATGGAGGATTCCCAGGCCCGAAGCCCACATCTACTGGCATTTTACCCCAAAGTTTGCCAGTAGAACCCGCAGTTTCTTCCCTGAGCCCCCCAAACCCTTCTGCCCCTGCAGTAGACCACAGGAACCATGCCCACAGCTCCACTGATGGAAATGATCACATTTAAAGACCGGACCACGTGCCCAGCATGGTCCATTTCCCTCTGGTGCCTCCGAGAAGCAATAGAAATTGGCACCTTCTGGCAAGGGGACTTGTATGGCACGGGGTGGTCTGTGTGGCTTGATTTCAGGCCTTCCACAGCTTCCAGTGAAAGGGAGTGACCATTTTCTCTGTGGTGCAAGATGCCAGGGGGGTGAAGGTAAAGCCGAGAAGGAGGGAGGCGAGCAGGGCCAGCGTGGAGGGAGCCGCCACCCCGAGGCGCACCCTCAACTCTGAATAACTCTCCGCAGGTCATGTGAGGAGGACGGCGAAGCAGCCCCATGCCCCGTTGAGCTGAGAGGAGATGTAGGGCAGACAGTGAGCCCACGGGCGAGGCAGGGGGTGAGCACACGCCAGCCGTGCCTGCCCCGGCAGGGCCACGTGGAAAGGGCTGTGTGTGCACGCGTGGCCGCCACTAACCCGGGACTTAGGCGTGGGTGTGCCTCTGTGGTTGCGCCTGGCTAACTCGGCTTTGACGGTGGATACCCCTAACCATCTAAACCCCCCAGTCGAGCCAAGCGCCAGGCTCGAAGTTCTAACCGAGGCCTAACCGAAGCTCTCACCGGAAGGGATCTCCACATGGTAGCTTATCTTACCCATCTCCCTTCCTGCCTCCGGACAACCTGGCTTTCCCCATCCTCTTAGGATGGGATTGTGTTTCTAACCGTGGGACAGGCCTTCCTCCGGGGGGAGGCTGGCACCTGGCCTGCACGCCGGCCTGCATCCCCAGGGCCTGGGGAGTCAGGAGCAAGAGAAGGCTCCTGCCTGGGTTTGAAAGAATGGCAGCTCAGCACAGAAGGAGACGCCCCCTAGGAATGGCCCTGGAAACAAGATGTCCGGTCCAGAGCCTCTTCGCCCTCCGTTGCTTGTAGATCAGTATTTTGTAGGATCCCACCTGCACCCTTTGAAGAGGCCACCGTTTAACCTTAGGAATCGCTGTGGTTTCTAATCTCATGTCCCCGAGTGCTCCCTGACCACCAGCATCCTTACCTGAGCTTGGGGAGGGCGGGGGGCAGCTCGGTGTGCCTCTCCC